TGTGTGTGTGTGTGTGTGTCCTCCTCAAGTGTCTTTCAGTAAGAGTCCTGCACTCCAGCTAACCCCACTCTCTCTGCTTACTGTGGAATTCAACTCTGAAAACAGCTCGCTACCCAATCACTACAAAGGCCTCATTCACTCACACACTAACAATCACACACATGCACTCACAGAAAGAAAGAAAGAAAGAAAGAAAGAAAGAAAGAGGGAAGGAGAGAGAGAGAGAGAGAGAGATATGCTCGGAGAGGGGAGGAAGGGAAGGAGAAGTATGCACCCATATCATTCAGCGTAGTTGACGTGGCAGGTTGGTGAAAACAAAGCTGCAGCAGGCCAGCCGCTTAATAATATACAGATTCTGACAAAGCAACACTTGGTTTGTGCATCAGTGTGCGCGCTCTGACCTGCACAGGGCTCTGTTTGACCTCGTTGCTGCCAGGGGAGTTGAGTCCAGAGGCCTGCTGGAGGAGGAACTGTCTGGCTGCCTGGAGCGCCTACGAGGGAGAAATAGAGATGATCAGATGTTTATCATGCGCACGCGGTCACAGAGTGAAATATTTAAGTGTCAAACGACAATTCATGCACGCTTTAAAACTTTCCAAATTTAAAAAAAAAAAAAAAAAAAAGGCCACGTGTGCTGTTTCACATCAACCCCATACAATCAAAATGTTAAATTTAAATGAAAGACAAACACATACTGGCCACTCTCAGTAACCCGCTCCCGTTGCCAAGTCTGATTTCCTGAACCTGAGACGTCCGCCTGGCACACAGCATGCGTTGCGTGTGTGTGTGTGTTTGTGTGTCTATGTGTCTGATTTCATCCCAACTCATTCAAAACCTTCTTTGACTCCAAACTCAAACCATCTCTTCATTCCAGGGGTTAAATTAGGATTTGTAATGTGGGAGGGGGCTCTGTGGTTTCAGGGTTGCCAAAGGTGCAAACGCTCATCAGACAAAAGCGACAGGCAAAACATTTCTACGTACAAAGGCCTACGTTCGTATCAAAAACAATTTATAGATGTTCAAGATTAGGCCTGTGATTGATGTCATGTGACAGACTGTATGTAAACTATAATGAGGTCTGATCTGTGCTGACAAGCCAGAGGAAAATTTTGCTGCTCACAAAAGTCTTTTGTCTCATCAGAAATAAGTCGTCTTCCTATTTTTGGATTACTGAATTCTGACCTGTTTCCCCTCCTCTGCTAAATCAATCTGAGACAAATTATCCTGTCCGATTTGAGAATAACAGGAGAGGAACAAGAAAAGCAGGACAAAACACACAGAGCAGAGACTTGAATTTCGATCAACTGAGACAAATTTCCGATATTGCGCAGGCTCATTTACAAGCCAATCAAGTTCTCTTTTGGATCTTGCCGTTATCTCAAGAGCTGATTATTTCAGACAAATAAAGATCAGAGCAGACAGAGAGAAAAAAAGGAGCCTAAATTGGAGCTGAGCTGAGAAGAGAGGACGGCTGCTATGAGAAAATGGTGAAAATCTCATATTGATGTTAAATTGAGCTTAGTTATGTCTTGGAGAAATGGGCTGGACAAAGAAGAGATCTTATATTGAATTTTTCTTTCCTCTGGGAAGCCTCTGCTCTGAATGTGGTGGTGTGTAAAACAACCAGCTGGTGACAATAAAACCTTTCTGTAAGTGCACTCTCCTGTGTATCAGTATCCAATGTAGGCTTAGTGGCATTATATCATTACAGAGGAGAGAAAAATGAATATAAATGAATCAATGTGAACGGAGCGTCCTTTTTAATAACTACATTAAAAGAGAATTAATTTACATTATGCATTATTAAACTATACACAGATATGAATGTTGTTATAGCCAGGAAATGATCAAAGTAGCTTACATTAATCAGCCATGATAATAATAGTTTGAGTTGCTCTGATATTCTGGTTAAACCACGAGATCTCGCTCAACATTTTAACTTGAACTTTCCAAGTGCTTTAAATGTAACAGATGGGGCGCTTGTGTCAAGTAGGCCTGCGTCTTGTTCAATAGCATTTTGTAAAAAACTGACTTTTTTGTTTCAGCAGGACATCACACCGATTTACATTTAGTTATGAAATGAAATGAGGTCTCCTCTCTCGAACATGCCATCTATCTATTCATCCCACCTGACTGTCAAAAGAGAGGGTTGATCAGCAAGGTGGCATTAGAGGAAAGGGACGTTATGAAGGGATACTTGGTAAAATGTGGTATTCTTGAGTTGCTCCATTTTATATACTCTATAACTGCAATTAGTCTGGAGTCATTAGATCCAGTGGGATGAGTAAAAATGTATTTTACTAATTGTTTGAATTACCAACAGAGTCCAAGCAAGACTGGATATTTGGGATCAATTTTTAGGAGGTGAAAAATGATGCCATCGATTTATGTATTAGAATGGTGTTGAGAATGGAAAATCACAGGGTTGTTAACTTTTTGGCAAACTAGTTAGCAGCTTACCATAAAGACACCACGTGTCTCTGCACCACAGTCTGCTCACCTCTAACACATGCTCTGCTACATGTACTGCACACAGCGCTGAGAGGATTGTAAACGAATGTTTGGGAGCAGCTCTGACGGACCAGTGATGTAATGATCACAAGCATTCTTTTCTGAAATATGTTTTGTACAAATATACATTCATATACATTTTTTAAAATTTCTTGTGTGTTTTATTGCTTATTCTTGTTTATCTTAATGTTTCGGTGTGGAACAGGTACACAGTGCATTTCACTGTGCGTTATCCCATGTATAACTGTGTTTGTGACCAATACAAGACCTTGAATCATGTAAGTGCATATCAGATAAAAAAACATGGCGATACAGACAAACCAAAATCTCCAAACCAACACATCAGTTGGACTCTGATCAATAAGACTGAGAGCTGTAAAAATATATACGTTGCCGATGATGGATGTAGCGTGGTTGAGCAGCCCCCGGTGACATTGAAGAGTGAATGCGTTGACAAAATTGAACTCTGCCCATTTCTCTGCCCTTCCCTCCCTTTTACACCCTCTTCCACACCCCTTTCCTCCTTCTCTCCCTCCTCCTCTCTTTGCGGAGGACGGTACAAAGTGGGTTTTCCACATCCTCTGAGGCAGAAGTATGTCAGCATATCTTCGTGTGTGTCTGTTGAACTGTGTTTGTGTGTGTATGTGTCGGAGTGATGTAAGCAACCGTTTGCCCTGATGTGCCCTGAAGAGCTGTGACTAACCACCAACCCACCTCTTCATTCCTCCTCCTCTTCCCATTTCTCTGCCGTCTGCCCCTCCGGCGCTGTCCATCTAATGCAGTGACACCATCGCTCACTAGCTCTGTTTCCATTCTTTCACTCTGCCCTTGAGTGTTGTCGATTCATCCTTCCAACACTGCAGCCTCAGCTATCCCTCCCTGCTTTCTCATCATATCCCTTCTTTTTTTCCCTCCCTCTCACTCTTAATTGTATTAACTGTTAACAATTGTTCTTTCTTTCCTTTGTTGTGCTGCCTGTTGCGGTGGTAAAGAGTGAATCGCTCTATCAACAAGACAAATCAGTCCCTGAGGAGCGGACATTTTTGTTGGAATGTTTGAACTGCTCCGAAAACAAAACAAGAAAACACCCATCTCAAAACACAAGCGCTGCCTTGCACTTACTGTAAGCTCACACACACACACACACACGCACGCACACGCACACACCTACACACACACACACACACACACGCACACACACAGGGACTTTCATAAATCAATATTTACTAAGGAACCTTTCCCCTTTGAGTCAGAGGAAGCAAATGTGCATCCTGCTGTCTCCCCTCTCTAACCCTCTGTCATGAGGTTGTGTGTGTTTGTGTGTGTGTGTGCGCATGCTTGAGTGTGTGTGTGTGTGTGTGTGTGTGTGTGTGGACACCGCAAATTAACGGCCAGAATGAGGGATGTTCTTTTCTATGGAAGCTCTTACTCAACCGTGCGGCGCTAGAAATCTGTTCTGCTGCATCATTTCACAACTACAGAAAAAAGTGTAACACGATGAAACAAGCGCGGCACACACTCGCCGTACACTGCCGCTTATTTAATGAATTGTCAAATTAGAAGCTGGGGTACATTAAGTAATGTTTAATCAGGAAAACAGAGAGGAGAGATTAGACGGAGACATAAAGAAAGAGAAGTCCTCTGTGCAGTCAGACTGATGAAAACCATCTGTATCGAGTACACTTGCTACTTTTGCTGAGACCGCAATTAAAACACACACACACACGCACACGGACGTGCCTGTGAACGTGCCTATGCACACAGACACACACACATGAATTTTAACACTTGGACAAAAATCTTAGGAACCCCCTCCCAGTTACTGGTTTGACCTCAGCATTAAAGCAGGCACAGACATACACACACACACAGACACACACATACAAAAAAAAACACAACCGCCCAGTTTGTTGGCATGTGGTGTGAATTACTCCTTGAACACCCTGTCTGCCCAAGAGTGAGTGCATGTGTTTGTCTGTGTGTGTGTGCGTGTGTGTGTCTGTGTGTGTGTGTGTGTGTGTGTGTGCGTATGAGTGTATGTTGGCAGGAGTTGGGGAGGCATGTCTGGCAACAATAAGGGACAATTCCACCCAAATTACCACCCTGATTACCACTATATTAAAGAGCCATTTATGGCTTTCATAAACGCTACAACCAAGCAGAGGTGATGCCTGTCTCCTCTCCTATGCCCGTATTCACGGATGTGTGCGTGCATTTGAAAGACAAGAAACACTAGAAAAAGAGGATGTGATTCTCTCTGTCTTTAAACAGAGGCTTTATTGTAGATTTAAAAACTGGCTTGTGCAACCGTGGCTAAGAGGCACGCTGTTGAAAATGACTGCTGTTTTTTACACCATAAACACAGAAAATATATTTATGATTGACTGGGAGGTTTTAATTCAAGGCAATATTAGGCTATATTAGTATTTTCCATTGTTAATATACGTATATAAAATCTACTCCATATCTACATCTCACACAACTCTTCATCCTTGAGCAAACCTCTAATTTTTATCTGCTTTCAATTACAAGAGTAGCATTTATTTGAACACAAACTAGAACACATTATGATCATAAAATCTCGCTACAATTACTTTGAAATTCACTAAATGCTGTTATTACGCTGTTGCCAACCTTGCCAGAGTGTTGCAAAAATTGCAGTCAAACAATCAAACAATCCATTTCAGTCTATGTTACTGCAGCGACTGTAAGATAAGATAAAGTAGCTGCAAAATTTTGAAAAGCGGCAGATTATTTAAATGTAGCCTTCTTTTTCCTTTGGTAAAGACCGGGGTTGGTTTAAGAGTGAAAATACACCCTGAGGTGTTCCAATACAGAAAAAAAGTTAGTGGTCTCAGCTAAGGGAAACATCTCCTTCTTTATTTTCCAATATCAGGACGTCTTTTTGTGCGCTATAGCTTCTAAAATTGTTCATTAGTGGTTTGTGTTACAGTGAGTAATGTGCTTTGAATAGAGGCAC